ACACAGGTGAGCACTCGAAAAGTAAGATAAAACCATGGTGAGGTGAAGCACAGGCAACAGAACCATTGCTGCTGCTGCCACGTTTGCAGGTTGGGCAGCCTAACCATTAGTCTGCAGGGGGATAGCCCTGCGATGCTACCAGGAAGGGCAATAGCAAAAAGAAGGTTTTTAAGAGGGTGCCTGGGTGATTGGAAGAGCTCGGTGGCCTCATTGAGTTGTTGCTGCTGAATGTAGCAGGTGTGATTGCTCTCTCTTTTCTGCTTAGTGAGTCTAACCAACATCTGTTTCTTAATGTAGTAATTAGGTTGCTTTTTCCTTCCAGAAAAGGCAGCATCCTGTCAAGCAGCGAGGTGAGAAACATCGTCATTAACTATGTGAAGGCTAATGAGTTGGTTGATGAGACAAACAAAAAGTAAGTAGATGTGACAGTTGTTCTACCACGTTTCCACATGAGATGTTGATGGTAGAGTTGAAAAATGAACTTGCTTGTGCCTAACGCACTGTTTTTCTGTTGTAGCTTTGTAAAGGTGAATGCCATTTTGTGTGACTGCCTGCTAGATAAATCAGAACAAGATGAAATCACAAACCTGAAGTGGGATGACCTCCTGAGCAGGTGACCTTTCCAACGTACTCTTTACGTAGATTTATTGCATGTGATTCAAAGCCCATATTATCAGAACTATGGAAGTTGTTACTTCCTACGGGTAAAATAAAAATACTTCCACATTTATTGGTATTCAGGCTGACTACTAAAGTTGTTTTTCCTCTTTACCATTTAAAAAAAGATTTTAAAAGGAGCGTAGCTTTTGCTGAATTTTAAACTGCAGTCACTTCATTGGCCTATCTGAACAATATTTAACTCAGTTAAAGATGGTTTTCATTGACAAGAATCAAACTGTAAAATCTTACCAGTAATGATCTAAGAGAAGTGAAAAGCAGGTAACATCCTCTATAAACTTCTTTCAGGTGTCTTGAACGACTGCAGCCCTTACACCAGGTGACGTTTTTTGGACAAGAACCCATTGTGAGGAAAGGAAACATTGAGCCCATCAGCATAACCATAGCACAGAGATCGTCAAATAAGAAGGTAAAGACAAAATTTAAATGATAGGTTTTGAGCTTGTTTTTCTGAGATGAGCCACATACAGCAGTGACATTGGTGATAATTATTACAACCTGCAGGTGACAATTATCAAGAACCTTGAGCTCTATGGTCTAGACCCACAGTGTGTTGCCAACATCCTGCAACAGAGGGTACAGGCCAGTGCCACGATCACCCCAGTACCAGGAACAAAAGACAGAGTTCAGGTCCAGATCCAAGGCAATCAAATCCACCATCTGGCCAAGATGCTGCTAGGTAAGTTCCTTCTGGAACCAGGCCAGGACTGCTTATAGCAAGATACAAGGTTACTTAAACTCCAAATATTTACCTGAAATGAACTCTTTTTTTATATTGCAGAAGAATACCAGCTACCTCGGAAATATATTCAAGGCCTTGAGAAGGCTCCAAAGCTTGGCCGGAAAAAATAGGAGAAAAACCTAGTGTAAGAATTAATGAGATCTCATTATTTATAAAAGTGTTGTGCCTACAGATCAAGAATAATATACAGGTCCCATTCATGCAAGGACAAGTCGTGGACTTTTGTAATGTCTGGAATTGATCCAATTAATAATATTGCTCTAGCTGTCCATTTTTCATAAAAATAAAAGACGGGGGAAAAAACAAAAAGCGTCATCCTTGTATTCACTTCTAGGATGGATTTCTGCTTTAGGCTTAATACATGAAAGTACCACAGGAGGGCGCCAGATGAATAAGTTAGAAGAGATTCATTGATTTACTGACAGTTTTATTTTCTTTGTCTGTTACACTGTGCATCTGAACAAGTAATTTCAGAACCTTCAAAAAAGCCGCAAGTGAGACATTTTTTAAAAATGCCACTGAATTACTAGGGAGTAGTAAAAATAAATTACAGCATTGCAAAAATGCATTTCACTTTGCCATAGAAGCTTTACTATTCCATTCTATACACATTATTTTACATGTTTTACAATAAACAGGAAAAATAAATTCACACGAACTAGGCAACACACACCATACTAACCAAAGGCACTGCCAACAGTATTTTGCGCTTAAGGAAGGGGGCAACTCTCCTATCCTAGACTTGTGCCTTGGCACATGTCAACTGACTGCTGAGATTTTGAGGTTCACGGTTACCTATTCTTCAAATGCCCCATGTCTTCAAAAAAAGAAGAAAAAAAAACAAAAACAAAAGAAACAGCCCTCCCCTTTGCAGGAGGTTTTCAGCAGCATTCACGGTAATTGCATAAGAAGCCATGCCTTCTACCAGATGTCTAAGACATGCTGGGTTCTAGGAAGGGAAAGGGAAACACCAAAACTCTGGTAGAAAACAACGAAAAAGAAACCCTTACAAGTTTTAGCCAGAAAACTAAGGAGTTTAAAAACAAGCTTCTGGATCTTGCTTCTCAGAACCAATGGCAGTTTTTGCAGTGTTCTTCCTCTTGACTGAACAGAAATATTTATACAGTGCTTGTGAGAGCCAAAGCGCTAGATGAATGTTATTTAAATCACAAGTGCGCAGTGAAGTAATATGGATTCTTGCAAAGGGGCAAACACAGCCCCAGAGCATGAAAAATTACTGCTCTCCTTGGGCTGCTGCCACGTTGCTGAAGGTCGTCGGGGTGGAGGCGACAGCACCGCGGGGAGGCCCTTCCTGCACCCCTGGCTAAAGCCTGAGCTGGGCCGAGCTCGCACCAAGCGGCATTTGTGCCACCGAGGGGCTCGAGGTGATGCAGTTGCTCTCTCAGGTTAATGAACAGAAGTTACAAACAACTCAAGTATAAATCTGGAAAAAAAAAATATCCCAAACAGTCACCTTGAAGGAAGGAGGAGACAGGTCCTTGTCCCTCCGTGGAGGAAAGCGGCCTCATGCCAACAGTGCTTCAGGTGCTGGGGTGTCGGGGACCGATGAGGCCTCCAGACCTCAGCCCTGTTCCAACTTCCTCCTGGGCCCAAATGTAAAGTTTTTACACGTAAGGAGGAAAAAAAAA